AATGGTAACATCTTTGCTCTGTTAGATTCTCGTCTTGAGGTGCCGCTTCACGCCTTCATCTGTATCAAAAGCTAAAAGCCTTGCATCAAAACTTGCTCTCGCTTGTTGTGGTGGTTCCTTGATGGCTAAATAAACYCTACAAAAGCTCTGCAGAGGCGCACCGGGCGCGTTGGGGAAGCGGTTCCCGCACGCTGGAGCTGGCACGTCGSGGCTTTGAAGACGGTAGGAGCTCTCGGCATGGCGGTAACAACAGAAACGGCTGGTGGAGTTTGTAAAATGGAAATGCTGCTTTACGCAGGCCCTGCTCTGATCGGTGTTTTGCATTGCTGCTGCTTCTAGGGTCACRTGTGTGTTCAGAGCTGTAAACTGCCAAGGCACACGAGGGCACGTCTGTATCGGTGGTTAGGACACAATGAACTTGCAAAGGAAGCATTGCCTACAAAATACAGTGTTGAACAGTTTTGTTTAGACCTTGGAAAGGCTAAAGCCAGGGACAAGGGCGAAGGAGCGCTGTCCTCAAGCAGAGTTGGGTGGAAATGGGGAATGCAGCCATTGTGGCAGTGTGTTGGTAGGTGAGGGACCGCAGGGACCATAAAGGAGCCGTGCTGTCGAGGGGATCAGAGCATCCCCTGTGAAATGAGCTGCAAGGGTTGCCATATGGCCTGCCTGGTTTACACCAATTTGTTAGTTCTCTTCATATTATTAAACTTTAAACTCTGCTAAATGGGGTGACTGTTCAGGTTAACCGTGTTTTTGTCTTTCAGCACTTCAGGTTGCAGGAGATTGCTTAGAATAAAGAAACAGCTGAGATTTCCRAAGGGAATTAGGTGCCTCACTCCTTTAGGCCATGCTATAAATGCCAGTCGAGAAATGAATTAATGATATTCTGCCAGAATCATATCTTCACATGGAAAATGTGCACAGTAAACGATTTTTRCTTTGGGAAGTATTTACCTCATGCTGCTAGGAGCATATAGACAGCATTTTATTTCCATTTGTTTTAATACCCATTTGTCTTAATTATTAATGTGAATTTGAACTCCCTTCTTCATTGCATTTAAAAGCAAATCACCCCAAGTTCAGAAGTTCACTGCACATGCCCCAAACTTTTTTTTCTCCRGAGCTTAAACCAAACTTCAGTGATCTTAGTCATGTTCTGCTTGACCAAATACTGACCTTCCTCTGCAGTAGAGAGACATTTAAGCCTGTTTTCTGAAATTAAATCAAATTCTTGTAATCCAATGAGATTTACAACTGCTCAAGTCTAGTCAGATTCATATATATTTCAAGTSAGACAGGTTCATACGGTGTTTGTTTTTCTTGAGCTAAGGCTGTGTATAGCATTTGGGATTAAACAGAAAATTAACATGTTTCACAAATGTCATTAGAGGAGGTGTGTAAAAATTTTCTCAGTGTTCCTCAAAACATCTACATGTTATTTAATGCTCATTGCCAAAGGTTTCTCTGTATTCTGCAGTACACTGCATTTTCTGAAAGTATGTGTGCTGTCATGGCTGGACACTGTTCCTCAGTGATTAGTGTGACAGTAAGTGAAGCGTGAATATTGAGACTTGCCATATCATGCATGCCAAGTTCCTATATGGCCCAACTGCTGTGAGACAAAACATGCTATTATGTTTTAGACACAAAGCCATATTGTATGAAATTCCACCCTGTCTCGTACTGAAAGAGGTGTATTTGAAAATGAAATCTTTTTTCTTTCCTTCGGTTCTTTTTGTTAACTTCTGTATTAGGTATTTAACTACTGAACCCCATCAGAAAATTTAGCCTTTGTCTCTATCGAGGAATCAAGTTTCAAAGTTAAATCAGACAAATTTTAATGTTTTACGGAGGATCTTTTAAAGGGACTATTGGCAAAAAAAAAGGAAAGAAACAAAAACAATCATTCTGATGCTTGTTCCAGACCACTGAGGTTATGCAGTAAATGGRGTTTTCCAAACAATTCTGATGTAATTTTAGTACATGATCATAACATAGTTTTTTCATAAGGAAAAAAAAATAGCTTGTCTTTAAACAAAGCAGCAAAATTTGTCATGCATTCCACTAAGGCATCAGTTTTTTAATACTGACAACCTTAGGAGCTCGCATGCATTGCTTTTTGGAGTGTCCACAGATTTCCAGAAGCGACCCTTGAAGAAGATATGAGTTTTGAAGAAYATTTTCATTGCTGTGCAAAGCTGCATTAACAAAATTAGAATTTTGATGTGGAACTTTAAAGATACAGCTGAGCTAGGTGAAAGCGGTAGTTTGATACATGAGTTACTTGGATGATCTTCTTCGGCCTGTATTGCACAAGAGGAGACAATCATTATGGTCCCTTCAGAGATTAAAATCTATAAATGCTTGGAAAYACAATACTAATAATGTGGCTACTGGAATCTTGAAAGCATTGACAAAAAACTAATACCAACCTCACACCCCCAGCACCACATGTAGTGTGATCAGGGCAGATAGATCGCATCATTATAGCAGATTGAACTATTTTTGCAGACTGTGCAATGAATTTAGTCTTCTATTTATTAATTATAAAAGCAGTTCTAATTAAGACTGATTTATTCATAATTATTCAATTAGTTGATGTGATTATGCTGCGGCCCTAGATATTTTTGTTGGATTTAGATTGTATTAATGTGTAATCTGYTGCTTATTTGATGTTTATCTTTGGTTTCTCCGCTGATTTCAGTAAACATGTATCTTTTCTGTATCTGAACTGGGAAGGTGACTTTGGCTTTCTAAACTGTTCCTATTCAAAACACTTTCAATTGTATTAGCTATTCTGAATTTCTTGCAAAACAATCTTAGCAGTATGCCAGGTACACTGGGGACCATTAATGAAAATGTCAGCATTACTCTCTTCAAGGAACTGCAGGTTTCTTCCATAATTTCACCTGCAATTCAGAATTTCTTAATGTTTGAATGTTRTTTTCTTTTGCTTTGCTTTGCCTTACTTAATTAGCATCTTCACTGTGCATATGGATCAGCTAAGGAATGGTGGAATTCTTATATTGGAGAGTAATATTTCACTACTTACTTAAGTGACTGCCTTTTTCTGAATTAACWGTAGTTCACATTCAAAACAGAGCAAGTTTACTATAGTTCCTGACAAGCTTGCAGCTATTTCTGTGGGGAAAAATTACACTGGCAGAATGGTTTGACAGAACCTCTGAACRATTAATTGGTGCAGGGGTGATTAGGGCTCAAGACAGGCCTCACAGATTCAAYATAATCATCATTCCATGGAAATTTTGGATGTGTAGAAGAATTAATATCAATTCTTCTTGAATATTTGCTCCTTCTTTTCCTTTTCTTTGTTAATAATAACCTTTTGCCTTGGTATTTTTCAGTGTTCTGTAATGAAATAATCTGTAATTTCTGTTAAATTGTTTAATTAACATTTTCATTAATCTGGTGGTTTAAATAGTCTGTATCCTAATTAATAATATTATTTATTAGCAATGACTCTTTCATTCAAGATGTGGGTTTTTTTTTTTTTTCTCACAAACAGAAAATGGAAACAGAAACATCAGAAACACTGGAATTCAGCATCTATTTAACCTGAAATAGCAATTCTGAAATCTAATCCTGAGAATTCAATAATATTATACCTGATGAGCTATAATGTCTTAAAGTACTCAGCATTCCTAARCAATTCATCCCTGGATAATTTCTGGACACATATACTGCCAGTTCTCAAGAAGAGATAGATAGGCACAGTATTCAAATTTCTATCTAGTGCACAGTTGCTAGAAATTAAAAAGACAGCCAGTGGGATATTTTTTGAGTGATTGCAAATATCAGCATATCATACGTATGCCAGTAGAGATCCTTTTGACTTATATTTTTTTTTTTAATTTTTCACACTGGCTATAGTATGAACATGAACAAAAAGTTGTGTCTATGACATTTATAACTTGAAGTTCTCACTGTAGTAACCATTCTTTTAAATTTTGTGGTTTTAGTGTTGTCTGTAGTTTGTTGGAGAGACTACAAACTACATCTTTGCCTATACTGATTCATATAAATTATGCCATGTCAGCCTGATAAAAGAGTAATGCTGTTTAACCCATCTTCTTGAACTGTTTTCTGGAAAGTCAGCTTGAGCTGAAAAGAAATGAATATTTACTTGAAACATTTCTAGTMATAATAGCAACAGGATGTCAACAAGGTTCAGGGTGTGTTTTTTGACTGCATTTCACAGTTTGGTGGCTTTGTAAATTTAGGCAGCAGCTATAGGTTGCGAAACCCAGCCCACATCTTGCTGGTTACCATTTTACTCTCTCCCCTACAAGTCTATTATTTTTAGATTATRTTTTCTTATAATATTCCCAAGAGTTTAGCTCCCAGCAAAACAGTAAATTTTCTCAGACTTCTGTAGGGAGCTTAGAAAAGATAATTTACTCAAATTTACTGTTTGCATTGCATTAACAATTAATGAAGAGCCAGCTCCCTGCTATGTGAATATATGAACAAGTAAAAAGTCAGTACTTCTGGAAAGACAAATGCCTTTGTGAAACATGATGCATGTGTTGCATGTTAGGCATCACTGGATTTTAAAATTTGATACTTCACAAAGTTGTGTGAATGTKGCTGTTATTGTAAGCTTGGATTTCATGCATTTAGATGGTAATATGCATTTGTTTCCAGCACTGTAAATTTTCAGTCTGTCAGTATGCTCAATAAAATGTAAATGGAAGGATGAAAACAGTTGCTTTCAAGATGCTGTTGCTCATGATGCCTTAGCATACTAGGCAGGGCATATGTGATATGGTATATTATATGCTCTGCAGTTGTAAAATTTGTATGAATTTTGAGCTGTCAATACAGAAATAATTCATTAACTCCCTAACCTGAGGAACAGCTCTCCTGGTTGCRCTCCTGGCTATTAAGGCTTGGTGTTTCAACTGTGCTGACTGGAGATGGAATTAATAAACAGAATAACWATACTGTTTTTCAGAAAAACCTTCTTGTTTGTGTTTCAGGCTGAGCTGTGTGAAGCACGCAGAAGATCTAGCCTCCAAACTACTCCAGTGTTTCCCAAAGAACAGATTGTCAGCACAGGCAGCTCTGAGCCACGAGTACTTCAGTGATCTGCCCCCACGGCTATGGGAGTTAACTGATAGTGAGTATAACCACCTCCAAATCGATTAAAAACAAAGATTCTGGTTCAGACAGATGCATGTGTGTATGYTAACCCTCACATGCAGGCAGCTTCACACACACACACAGCCACACACAAAATACGTGACTGCAATTGCATAGACTCAAATTACATAGTTAGCTTAACACAGGACAAAATGGATTTTTTTTTTGCTATCTCTGCTCTGCAGTCTGCAGCCTGCTATCTTTGTATTTGATTATGTGTGGAGCCAATAGAATTCTCTGAATTGTCATAAAGCAAAAGGAAAAATGCAATTTACATATTTAGTGCTTTTCACTTTATAACAYACAGTACTTCTTAACTAGCTGCAGCACACAGGATAAAAATCCAGCTGTGTTTGATTCACAGAATCTCTGTGTGCTTTAACAGTAACCTTTAAGAAAGGACTCGACATTCAGAAGTCTGAGAAACACAAAGTAAACAATCAGTTAATTTGCTGAATTAGACTGTGTACGAAGAGGATAGCAAATGATATTCTTAACTAAGAATGCTGTCACTATTTACWTGCATCCTTTTGCTTCTTTTATTAAACAGAATTCATTCCAATTGACTTGGCAGAAATGTTCCTATCATTGTGTATGCTGTCAATTATCTTTTTAGTAATTTTAAATCATTTATATTGTATGTGTGCCTATTGTTTTTCAGTGTTAAAGGCCCACTACTATTTATTCTGAGGAAAAATAGTATTGTGAATAATCTTTTTTATTCAGAGAAGGTTCTGTTATTAGAAAAGAGGTTTCACAAGGGAATAACAGCATTTTGCTTTAACTCAATATGGTGAAGAGACACATGCTTGCATTACAGCATTGTATGTTCTGTTCTGCTTTCAAATATGCATCCATTAGCAAAAGATCTAAATCCAGCWCTTCAAGGCTGAAAGTTCAGAGATGCAGCAATGGAAAATGTGAGTTTAACCATGGCTGATACAGAAGTTTGCTTCTAAAAACTGAGCTCTCTCTTTCTGARTATTCTTTACAGCAGTGTCAGTATGAAAACTTTTGCCTTCCTAAAGTTTCTCTTTTCCATCCTCAACACCTRTAGCAGTCACATTTTGAGCTGGTTCTGTGGCTTGGCTGTCCAAGTGCCCTACTCCCAGCTCTGCCCTGAAGAGMACTCTCCCATTTCTAGAATATGAACAATAAAATCAAAACAATAGYTCCAATAATTTCTGTCCATCACTGTCACAGACCATGTTCCTGCTCTGCAAAAATATTCCCTGTTTCCTCCTCTGCTGTGGTGACCCTCCACTCAGTTTGCTGACTGTGGTACTCCATAAGCAGGAAATTTAAAGGTTCAGTGTAAATTAAGGCTGCTATTGGAAGTCTGCCTTTGCAGAAACTGATGCAAAGAGATTCTTTTCTTCAGGRCTAACGAAACATCAAGAATGCCAGTTCATTTATCCTATTTCCACTAAATGGAAAACAAAAATCACTCTGCAGTGGTGACATCTCAATCCTTCTGACTGTGTGATTTAGTCTAGCCAGGATTTTGAATTCTGAATTCTGCAGGAGTACTTTTCTGTTAATATGGGCTTATTACCCACTTGCCACTTAGTTTATCAGTCAGTGGTTAAATCCAGTTCTATCAGTGAAGTAAATGCCTACACATTATCACTCTGCAGCAGGCTGCCAACAGAGACAGTCTTGTCCTAGTCATTAACAAGCACAATGTATGCAGAACACCAGAGGGGAATTAAAACCACAAAAAATACCTCAGGGTGGTATTTTTAATATGAGAATTTAATTTGTAATTTCACAGATTAAGAATTTTGGCTGCATTAATCCTTTTATCAGCTCACAGCAGGTTATTTGCAGAAGCATAACCATAAGGCGATATTCATTGGCAGAAACACGTCTTTGCATAACGTTAAACATCAGGAGCAGTGAAACCTTTTGAAGGGGGGAGAATAAAGATGAAAAATCATTATATTTTAAAGCAAGGTTCTTCTAAATGCCTCCAGTAAAATTTTGAGTTACAGAAAGACTATTTCTGTGTCTAGTAGATAATCATTATGAAGCATAAATCCARATGCAAGAAAGGACAATCCCAGTATCAAATACTACAATCATTTCTATTTAGTATTACTTGGATATTCTTGTAAACATATTTACAAAACAATAAACTCATATACTTTGGAGAGCTGGAAAAATGTTTACTGTGTAAGTGAAATTACCAGTTTTTGTGATTTAGTTCTCTGTGCTAATATTTTATATCAAGAAACACTGTTGATAGTTAATTAAGTGTAGTTATAAACACATWGAGTCTTTATGTACAAACAAAATTATTGCTTTCTAATTTGGACACCACTGTGATTTTCCAAATCTCTATAGTGAATAGTATTCATCATGGAATATATTTTGTCCAATTTGGTCCTAATGCTGAATTGCAAATTTGGGGATTTAGTACTAAAAATCAGGGAAAGCCTCATATGTGGGTGGGAAGGCAAATAGGAAGAATCAGTYAAATAATTTTCCATCAGAAAATTGTTTCCTTGGAATCACAGTATTTCACAAAATTATGGTGACTCTGCCTACATTGAAAAAGTAAAAATGAAGCATTTGACTTCCTTTTCTGCTTTTGACCTTTARCACTATATATTTGTATTCTGTGTAATWCTGTTCAATATATTTTTTKATACGGTTTATTTTAAAAATGTGCRCAAAGTTAGTTTACATGAGAAGCACAATTTCAATTTTTTTACTTGCTATAGTTTCGAGTCAAGGCATAATTTCAATTTGGTTGGAAGTTAAATTTCCAGATAAGTTCTGTCTAACAGGTAGCCACTTTTTTGAAAATAATACATTAAAAGGTAAGAGTAGTGCTGTTCTGCTAAAAGCACCTTGTCTAGGAACACAATGCAATTTATGATGCAGCATAGCTTTAATTCATCTCAAACCTGAGCAGTAATCTGTGGATTAATCCTTTTTACTAAATCTGTGTACTTGTTATTTGCTCTCAAAAAAAAAAAAAAATCAGTCCTCCCAGTTCTTAATTTTATATTTGATAGCTCATATTCATTTATKTGTATAGAATATCTGCCATTCATAGTGTGTTACTGAGGACAGCAGAATAAGAAATGCAAGTTGAGATGTCAAAACAGTGAGAAGGGCTGTGCATAAAACAACAGCCAGGTCTTTTAAAGACATATAGATGATAAAGTAGCTCCAAAAACTTACAGTTATGCCAGTTGTTAGTGCAAAAAAGAAAATTCTTGGGGCCCTGATTAGTTCTCTAGCATTTCCATATGGARTCATGGTGTGGCAGTTCTCTTGAGGATATTGTTATACTGAGGTTTGTTTTCAGGCGGTATTAAAGTCWTTGATTTTTCCCCATCAAATTGAGGCATCCTAAGTAAAAATGGGTTTTCATATTATCAACATGCTCATCCTTAACCATTTGCAATTTGATTCCTATGATTATTATCATCACGTCTACTAATTAGCTGCCTGGTGTGATGTTGAAGTCGTCAAGGTTTTTCTAGCTCATGCAAAAGGGGATTGCTTCATGTAACAGCTTTCTGAGTTGTTGGAGTATTTTTAGCAAGCCTAGTTGTYTTTAATAATTCAAAAAAGAAAGTCAAAAAAGATAGTTCAGTTCTACTGACATCACGATTCTAAAGATGTAATATGTGATATCAAATTATTGAAAAACCTTGCTATGTTTTACCTTCTTATTTACTTCTAAATTCTATCAGCAAAAATTTGAAAGTGGAAGTTATTAATTGTATAGTGGTGTAGAGGRCAAATAATCACACACAATCTGGACACAGGTTTTTTTTTTAAGATGCATGCAGCTAAGAATGTTTGCATCATACAACTTCCATCATTGTGCATTCAACTTCTTTTTATTCAGAACTTTCACAGTGCTTTCTTGCAGAAATAGCTGGTATATGTCAAAGCTGTATATATTTACTGTATTGTATTTGCCATTTATTTTAAATAATTATTTTTAAATAACTGCTTGTACTGCAAAAGGAAATCAAAGTTTCTGAGCTGACACTCTTTTTTGCAGTGTCTTCTATTTTTACTGTACCGAATGTAAGATTACAGCCAGAGACTGGAGAAGGCATGAGAGCCTTTGGAAAAAACAATAGTTATGGCAAAGGTGTATCAAACAGCAAACATTGAAGAATACCTATGTTCACAACTGATATTACAGGTAAGACATGATTATTGGAAAGTATATCTTTGAAAATGATCTTTAGTTTTCTTTAGAGAAACAAAATACAAAATYCAARTGCCATGTCCATGGGCAGGCTGATAGTCTGTTTGCTCAGTGTACAGTCCATATGAAGAGGGTAAGTTCTGAGCAGGAATGAGTGTCACTGACAGGTTGAAAGTATTGCAGAAGTTGGTACTAATGTATTAAACAATAGTTTGTCTTTAATTTGGACTGATACATTTTTTCATCCTGATAAGACATGCAGCAAGAAAATACCTCTTGCCAGTTCTGTTTTTAAACTTTGGGGCAAAGACAAGAAATTCTATGATTCTACGATTTAAGGTCCCTCACAACACTGACCATTGTGTGATTCTGTAGGTTGGTAGTCTCGATAGCAGAAGGATCTTGACAGAGAAGAGGCACTGTCATGTTAGTGATTGTGATCTCTATCACTGGATTAACTAATACTGGTTTTGTTTAGCCATAGTTATTCAGCAGTGAAATAGTGTGTAMTATGACTTCTGGTATTCCAAGAGTACAACAGAACTTGGGAAGGCTGRGTGAATAGAGAGGCCACTTACCAAATTACAGCAAGGGAATGGTGGTATTATGTCATGGCATTAATTCTCTTCTGCCCATATCAACACCCCAAWGTTTGTTCAGTGGGATTTAGCCCCTGGCAGACTCTTCCAGATTAGCAGTATTCCCTTATAGAGCTGCTTTGCTTATTATGCTTCTCTAAATGGTTTCATTCCACAATGTTTCACAGATTACCTAAAGTGAAGATTCTTTTTATTCAAAAAAACAAGGCCTGCCTTTTTGTTTGTTTGTTTGTTTGTTTGTTCGTTTGTTTTTAAAGACATGGTTGCTTTCACATGTTGAGTCCATTATAAAAATTTGTTACAGAAGTTCTAGAAGCTGAGATAAATGCAAATTCTGCTCAGTTACTTTTTGAAGATACAGTCTCATATAAATGTAGTTGATATTAACATGATGTCTATCTTTAGCTAAGTCTGCTTTTCACAATGTCAGATATAACTTTCTCTAATGATTCACATTTGGATTTACTGTTGTGTGCTTATGTACAATTGGGTTTTTTAACCCTGTAGTGTTATGGAGTCTTGGCCTGACAGACAGTAACTACTGAAAAACTGGAATGAATAGATTTCGGTGCTGACAGCCTGCCCCAATTTTTGCACAAGCTCTTYGCCAGCAAACCATTTAAGATTCTCTAATGTCAGAAATGAGGCTGCCTCAGAGCAGTCTGTTTACATCTTTATTGACAAGCTAATCCCTACTTTTTCCTGGGGCTGTGTCCCTGCAGACGTCTCTTCAACCTTGTCTGTTCTAACGTGACATATCATCCATCTAAAGTATATTTAGAATGTGCCCATCTGTGCTAAAGACCTTTGTGTAGAAGCTTATGTATAGAATCTCAATTCTCATGTACAGAATCTCCTTTTCCAAAGAAGTGTAATTTTTCATTTATACAACACGCAGTGGAAGGTTTGTGTTTGCAAATGAGCACATAAAATAGCACAAAGGAGAGCCCTTGAATCATTCTTACTGAAAATCTACTGGAGCAGGTACAAATTACTGCTTTAAAATTTTGTATATGAACAGAGAGAGCTATATGTATCCTTTCTGTACTACACTTCTGTGGCTGCTCAACCACAGTTTTAATATAAAATTTCATTGTGAAAGATCTGAAGCCACTTAGCAAATGTTCTGGTGTGTATATTATTGATTAAGGTTTTCCATTGTGGCTTGGGACTTTTTTCTGYTAGGTGCTTACAATGCAATAACTTATCAGCTCCCTGCTGTCATATTTGACTTGTGACATGAGATAGGGACAGCAGATAATGCTGGAAAAATATTAGTACCAAACAGAGATCTTCTTACTTGTACCATGCAAAGAGCTGGGGATTAATGAGGTGAATTAGGTGAATCCAGGACTGTGGACATGGAAAATGGATTTGGGTGAGGAATTATTAGAATGTGTGGATTAAAGGGATGAGACTACCAAGCAAGTGGAGGTGTGAGTCAATGTGGAAAATGAAAAGAGAAAAAGGAGTGCAGTTTTGGTAATGGGAACAGAAGGTCTGGTGAATGGCAGGTGGCTGTGATTTTAAGCAGCGGAGTAGTGAGTGGCAAGTAGGATGTTCAGTCARTAAAATGGATGAGTTATGGGTCAGTCACTCTAGAAGACTAGAGATGCAGTCAGCAGGACAGTAGCATTAGGGAAGGGGTATTTATTATAATATAGTCTGTCAAAGTCTCCATTCACAAGGCTCAGTGAAGCAAAAATGCATGGATAGCAAAAGGAAAGATGGCAGAGCTCTGCAGGGCCATGAAGTTAACAGGTCAACAAGTAGAGTTAGAAGGATGGAGGCCAACAGTAGAAGATGTTAAAATGTCAACAAGCATGTTCAGATAACATCCCAGCTAGTGGGATAAAGGAAAATTAAAATAGGTAAATATTGCAAGGACATAGATGTGATTATTTAAAAAAAGCAACCATAGGCAAATAAATGTTTCTAGCTTGTTTCCTGGACCAGGTAGGTACATGTGTTTTACTCATCTTCCTAGGCTGACTTTATGCATTTATAGAGGTGGCAGGGAAGTTAGAAAGGGGTGGAATTTTGAGGTTTTTACAGTGTCCTTCAAGAAGCTGTGAAAGAGAAAAAATCTCTAGATTGTTGTTCACTAAATCCTCTGACACCTGTGTAAAGGAAAGGTTTTATTTCTTATACCTTTTTATACATTTATACATTGTAAAGGAATTGATTATAGAAACCCACAAA